GCGCAGGTCCGCGCGGGACACATCAGGAGGGGCATCGCCCACGACCCGGCACAGCGGGCAATGCGCTTGGCCGGCTGCCGTGGTCTGCTCCTTGGCTTCAGGCTCCCCCGCAGCAGATGCCGGTTGCGCCTGCTGCAGGCCCAGGGGCGTGCAGACTTCCATGGCCAGCCGCGCCAGCGGGTCGCCACTGCCCTGGCCCGATGCCAGCACCATCGCCAGGGCAGGGTGCACAAAGGCGAACAGCAGCGCCGCAGCCATCCAGGCGGCAAAGCGCCGGCCCTGGTCGCGCCGCTGTCGTGCGCCCGGCAACGCCCACGGCCAGGCGGGTGGCCCGAAGGCCACCCAGCGCTTGATGCGGAGGCTGCTGCAGCGCATGGGCCCTGTGTCAGTGCTTGTGATCGTGGCCCGAGGGCGCCGCCTTGGTGGCCAGCGGGCGTACGGGCGCCTGCACCTGAACGGATTCACGCTTGCCGTCCTTGCCTTCGATGATGAGGGTCAGGGGCACGGTCTGGCCTTCCTGTACCTGCTGCTTGAGGTCCAGCAGCATCACGTGGTAGCCGCCGGGCTTGAGCTCCACGGTCTTGCCTGCCGGCAGGGCGATGGACGGCACCTGGCGCATCTTCATCACGTTGTCCTGCATGGCCATCTCATGGACTTCGACGACCGGCGTCAGGGGCGAAGTCGCTGCGACGAGCTTGCTGTCCTGGGCGGCCTGCAGTTTCAGGAAGGCGCCGGTGGCCTTTTGCTGCGGCACGGTGGCGCGCACCCAGGCATCACTGACGCTGACCTGGGCATTGGCGAATCCGCTGATCATGGCGGCGGCGAGGGCAAGCAAACGGACGTGGCGTTTCATGGGTTTTCTCCTTCGTTGGCAAAAAATGTCGTGTGTGTCGGGTGCGTGCCTGGTGCGCGACTGGTGCGTGACTGGTGCGGGGACGGCTGGAAGGTGTCCATCAGAAGCGCAGGTTCATGCTGGCATAGACGCCGCGCCCGTCGGCGGGCGAGTAGCCCGAGGAGCCGCTGTCATACCAGGCGTAGACGTACTTGCGGTTGGTGACGTTCTTGACCTGCAGGCCCAGGTCCATGGTGTCCGAGAGCCGGTAGCTGGCACCCAGGTTCAGCACGGCGAACTTGCCTGCGCGGCCCTGGGTATTGGTGCGCTCCAGGTAGTAGTCACCCTGGGCATTGCCCCAGGCCGACAGCTTCAGCCGGTCCGTGGCCTGCCAGTCCACGCCGGCCGAGACCAGGTAGTGCGGCACGTTCTCGATTTCCTTGCCCAGGGTGGCGGGAGCGCTGGGTCGGGCGCGGTGATGCGCGCCACCTGATGGAGTAGGCGATCCAGGCGGTGGTGCGGGCATGGGGCTTCATGTTGAGCTGTATGTCGTAGCCCTTGCGCAGCGTCTTGCCCACGTTGCCCAGGCCGCCCGGGTCGGGCAGGCCGTCCACGCCCAGCACCCGGGCCACCTCGCCCGAGGCGCGCTGCTCCCAGTAGGCCAGGCGGCCGTTGAGCCAGGGCAGGGGAGAGAACTTGACGCCCGCTTCCCAGCCATCATTGATGGAGGGCCTGAGGTTGCGATCCTGCGTGCGGTAGGCGTCGATGCCCGAGCCGATCTGGAAGGTCCGGCCCAGTTCGCGTAGACGCTGGCCTGCTGGCTCAGGGTGTAGGCGATGCTGATCTTGGGCTGCTTGATCAGGCCGTAGTCATGCACGGGGGCGCGCGTGCCGGCCAGGCGGTCGATGAAGTGGCCATCCACGTCGTCAATGCGCAGCGCCGGGATGATCCGCAGGGCTTCGATGGGGCGGATCACGGCCTGCACGTAGGCGCCCTGCGTATGGAGGTCGAAGTCCCAGTCGCGGAACTGCGAGGTCCGCACGCGCTCCGTGGTGCGGTAGCGCTGGCCCAGGTTGCTTTGCCGCTGGGCGTCCAGACCGCCTTCGAGCGTGAATTCATGCGCCCAGGCCACCTTGGGGCGCCAGGTCAGGGTGGTGATGGCGCCTTGCTGCTGCTCGTCGTTGTAGCGCTCCTGCTGCGAGCCCGCTGCCGAGAAGCGCACCCAGCGCTGGTTCTCGTACTGGTTGGCGTAGACCTTGGCAGACAGCGACAGCTCGGGCGTCAGTTCGCCATCCAGGTGGGCGCTGAGCTGGCCGGTTTCCCGCTCGCCACGGTCGGCCGCCGCATAGGCCGGGGAGCTGCGCGGCGCCTTGATGGCTTCTTCGTAGCTGAGGTAGCCCGACTCCAGCGCCTTGTTGCGGTAGTAGCGCGCGATCACGCCGGTGCGCCAGCGGCCATCGTCCGAGGTGTAGAACCATTTGCCGGACAGGGACAGCTTGCGGGCATCGGATGTCCCGGTAGCCTCCGAATCGCGCCAGGCCAGGAAATAGTTCTGGCTCCAGTTGCCGCTCTCGATGCCCTTGGACACCTGCAACTCCTTGGTGCCGAAGCTGCCCACGGTCACGCTGGCACGGCCTCGTTGCCGCCCGTGCGGGTGATCACGTTGGCATTGCCGGCGATGTTGTTGAGGCCGTAGCGCGCGTCATTGGTGCCGCGCACGATCTCGATGGCCTCGATGTCCAGCGGGAAGACAGCGTCCAGAAAGGGCATGCCCCCGGCGTTGTCATTGCTGGGGATGCCATCGATCAGCAGCTTGACCGCATTGATGCGGCCTTCGCCGTTGAAGCCCCGGAAGGAGAAGCGCCCGGCATCCGTGCCCTGCTTGAACTGCGTGACCTGCACGCCGGGCGCCTTGGACAGCAGCTCCCAGCTGTAGTCCACATGCTCGTTCTCGAGGATGTCCGCGCCCACGATGTCCACGGAGCTGAACACGCTGCGTGTGGACAGCGGGCCGGAGGCCTTGGAGGTGATGCTGATGGTGCCCAGCGTCAGGGCGGAGTCGTCCTGGCTCAACGTTGGGGGGCGGCCAGGCCCTGGGCATGGGCCGCCGAGGCCAGTGCCAGGGCGATGGACAGGGCCAGGGGGCTGCGCGAGAAGGAGAGGGAGACAGACATCACGTGAGGCGGACGGTGGATGGTGTGGAGGATGCGATCGGCTCAATGGGCCGGATGTGCGGATGGGGGATGCGGGCCCTGCGCGTCCATATGGACCATGCCGTCGAACAGGGCCAGCAGGGCGCGGCGCGGGGCGGGCATGGCGGACTCGGCCTGCACGACCTTGCTGGCCAGGCTGCGCGCGGCCGATGCAGACAGGCCAGCCATTGCCAGCATCTTGGGGTCCTTGAGTCCATTGCCGCCACAGACGGCCACCAGCCATTGGCCCTGCGCGTCGCGCCCGCAGCAGGGCCCGCCACCGCGATCGCCTTGTATCCATCCGGCGACCGCATGGCCGCCTTCGATGGAAATGGGCGCTACCTCCAGCCTGGCCTCGGGCTTGTCCCAGGTGGCCATCATGACGCTGCGGATGGCCGCCGCATCAGCCGACCCGGCCGTGGCGGGGGGCGTCGCGCCCGAGGCCGCCGCCATGGCGGGCAGGCCCAGGACCAGGGCCATCGACAGGGCGATGCTGCTCAAAGAAAGATGTCTCATG